CGTGCCTCGCGCCTCGCAAGGAGCCGCCGCGGCAGCTTCTTCACGTGTTCCTTTGCTGTCACCGTATGGCAGTATTTTCTGTCGCGTTATGTCACAGTAACCGTCCAGACTCGAGGTGCGGCGCCAAGTGCGGGCCCCGTGGCGCTGGCTGGCCCGTGGGCAAGGCTGACAGGAAGGGGTCGTATCCTCACCCTGAGGGGCAAGTGGGGGCGAAGCTGTTCTCCCCAGGGCACCGGGAAACGCTCTGTCCCAAGCGGAAATCCAGTTGCTGTCTCCGCAGTTGACACAAGGTCATCGCTCCCAGAGTAGGCTGGAGATACCGAAAAGGGATCTGTGCTTCCAGGCAGGGTGTTTCCTTGCCCAGGGGTAGGACAACAAGGTTGCAAAATAACAATGGTTTTATCAGTCTTGTGATACCTAATGTTTTCCTTAACACCTCCAGCTTCTGGAATTGGAAATCACGCCAGTCTCAGAAACTAGATAATGTTTCTAGCCCTTATGATTGCGTGGAAGAGTTTGAAAGCCATATGAAAGGCCCAGCGGCTAGATAGTAAAAACCACACATCCAAGACTTTCTAAGTCAGTGTCCTGATTTTGTGGGTGCCGCCTCATGATGTCCAGGATGCGCGCTGCTGGGGTTAGTGAAAAGCCTTCTTATAAAGCCAAGCTTTGCAGAAGCAGAGAGAGACAATCCCTGCCGTCATGCTGGTGCAGGGGAAGCAGTTGTGTGCAAGCAGACCTCACTGCGCTTACAGCTGGAGGGGTCCTCCGAGTAGGCTTGTGCTCAGCCAGGCATTTAAACTGATACCAGCAACCGCTAACCCCCCTCACGCTCGCCACGAACCCCTCATCCCCCCTGGCACGGAGCATCCCCCGAGACCCTTGCTGAAACAGCTCTATGGGCTCAGTAGGAAAGCCTGGAAGATAAAGAAGCAGGGGCATACAGGAGAGGGAAAGGATGGGGGAAACCTCTCCACGGGTGGCAGCCGCGTGGAGAGGTGGGCAAACTGGCTGCTCCTGTTAGCGGCATGGTCCAGGGCAATGCTGGGACTGGACCAGGATTTTTAAACTCGCAGCCTCCAGGGAAAGCACTGGGGTTTCCATCACCTTACCTTGAGTGAGATGAGTTGGTCTCACTGTTACTGAGCTTTGGACTTTGGATTCCATGGCCCTGATTTTTAGCTAGCTCATCCTTGCATTCCTGGTGTCTGGAAGGCTGAGCGAGCAGGGCAGCTCTCCCAACGGTCACGCGGCCACGTTGATTTACATCCTCTCTGCAAAACAGTGGGAACGCGCACCACTCTCTGTGCACTCCCTCTTCCTTGCCTCTGCACCACCACACTTGTGGAGGAGCCTCTTTGCCCAGGGTGTTACTCACACACAATGCTTTTTCCTGTCTTGTCCTGGCCTGACAGCACAGAGGAGCAAAAACACTCAGCCCCAGAAGTGAGCAGTTGATGCCTGGGGCATTTGCGGAAGACCAAGCCACGCTGCTGGGAGCCACTGAAATCAAGAGGACCTACAGTTCTAGCAAGTTCACCCTCTTCGCTGAGGCATCACTTACAGGCACGCAGACCACTATCACTGAAGTGCCTGGCAGGCTTAAAGCGCCTTGGGGACCCCCCTTCCCAGCAAGCTGCCCCAGGGAGCGCAGAGTCTGTTGTCCACATCTACCCACCAGGAATAAAAATGGCAAAATGCTCCTGCTGTTGCCCCAGTCCTACGCTGGATTCCACAACCAGTGGATCAGAAGCTCTCCCTGCCCTCCAAGACCACCCTAACCATATGTTTTCCCCATCAATCCTTGCCCCACTTCTTCTACTGCTTCCTACCTTGCAGCTACCCTGGGTTTTCCCCCACGCCGCAGTACTCCCTCAGAGCCTTCAGACACAGGGGCACCTCCTCCCCTGGCCTCAGCTGCCCCCTCTCCTGCCTCGCTCCCAGGCACAAGGCCAGAGGCAGGCAAGTTAGAGCGATCCCTGCGTCCATGGCAGAGTCCTGCTGTGGATACCGCGTGGGGGGGGGACAATTCCCTGTCCCAGCCTCTCCTGGGAGTCCATGTCACCTACAGTGTGGCTCTGCAGGCAGTGCCGCTCTGCTCTGCCTCACGGCCAGAATCCAACCCCGGGGGGGGGGGGACAATTCCCTGTCCCAGCCTCTCCTGGGAGTCCATGTCACCTACAGTGTGGCTCTGCAGGCAGTGCCGCTCTGCTCTGCCTCACGGCCAGAATCCAAAGGGACAACTGAGGCCGACCCCGTGCTCTGAAGTCCCAGAGCCCAGTGTCTCAGAGGTTTATCCCTATGGCTTCAGCCTTTATTATCTTCAGGAAACTTTCGGGAGGAGGGGAAAGATCTTCAGCTTTGCAAGGCAGCACTAGATCTTATTAGTCCTTGTAATTATTAACTCCAAAGGCCTGGTTAGCAGGAACAGAGGGTCCTCGGATTGGAAAGGCAGAACTCCTTCCAGGATGAAACAAAGGCAGGAAGGAAGAGCACTGATAACACAGGCAAAAAGCATTAAGAGAGGGTGAGTTGGGGATGCTGAATCTAAGCCCTCTGCAGAGATACCTGCCCCCAAAGTGTGGTGTGCGCTCCCCAAGAGACAGGCAGCACCACGGCAAAGCCTGGACAGACGCTGGGTCCCTCCATAACCAGGTGAACGGGGCAAGAGCACAGAGGGGAGACCCAGCAGAGCAAAACCAAGCTCGTATCGCTCCCAGGCTATGGGGTATTATTCAAGCTGCCTTGAGGCAGGAAAAGTTGCTGCCTTCCCCATGCCTCTGCACAAGGCTAGCTGCTCCCAGGGAGCTGGGCCTCAAGTGTCCAACCCATCAGCTGGTGAGATACATGTCCCCCACTCCCTTCTCGGGTATAAAGGGAGGCCAATAAAACTACAGACAGTACTAAAGACTCAGCGTCGTTGGAAGCTCTGACTCTCATCTAGCACTACGTAAGCACCTGGCTCTCTCCCACCTCATTTCCCATTCACATGTCACAGAAGCTGAAATATCTCTGACCTCTAGGTAGTAAAGTGTCATAAAGCCCATTCTGCCTCCTGAAAGGTTCCCAAAAAGACACAAACCCTTGCAGAGGCCATCATGGTACCTCCCCACTGCCACAGACATTTTTAATCACGTCCCTTTTTGTTCTATGCCTCATCTTCCCTGCTCCCACTACCTCTGCTCCCTCACTCGTCATCCCCAGCCTCTCATTTCCCTCCTCTTACAGAATGGTTGAGGTTGGAAGGGACCTCTGGAGATCTTCTAGTCCAACCCCCCTGCTCCAGCAGGGTCACCTAGAACACGTTGCACAGGACCCTATCCAGACACCTTTTGAATATCTCCAAGGATGGAGACTCCACAACCTCTCTGGGCAGCCTGTTCCAGGGCGCACTCACCCTCACAGCAAATAAGTTTTTCCACATGTTCAGACAGAAATTCCTGTGCTTCAGTCTGTGCCTGTTGCCTCTCATCCTATCGCTGGGCACCACGGGGAAGAGGCTGGCCCCATCCTCTTGACGCCCTCCCTTCAGATGCATGGATCAGATCCCCCCCCTCAGTCCTCTCTTCTCCAGGCTGAACTGTCCCAGCTCTATCAGCCTTTCCTCATATGAGGATCATCTGCTTCTCCTTCGTGTGCTTGGAAATGGTAGCCAGGATTAGCTGCTCCATCACTTTTCCAGTGACTGACATAAGGCTGCCTGGCCTGTAGTCACAAAGGAAAGGGCACCCCCTCCTACCCAAACCCTTCCTCTGGCTTCCTCTGACCCAGGGACACTGGTTGCTGCACCGCGCTGACCCTTCTTATTGCCCACCCCAGAGCATCCACACACCTGCCTCTGAATGGGTCATAAATGCAGAGCAGGACTCAAAATCCTGAGTTTGGTGCAAATAAGGTGCAGGGCTGCACGTGGAGCAAAAGCAGCTCTCAAAGTTTTGGTACCCTGCCCAGCACAGACGCTTTCCAGCCATTGGAAAGAGCCCACTTTGGACTGCTCATAGATTCAAATGCTACCACAATAAAATGACACAGGCCATGAGAAGAAGAAGGAACAGGGGTTATCTTAGAGCTTGGAAAGCTGTCCTGGGAGCTGCACCCCTGAGCCAGCAAAGCCAGATCGGATGTTATTGCCATGAAAATAAAAGGGTAATGAAAACAAGGATCTAAAACGCCAGGCTTCATCCGCCCACTCGCTCCCCTCACTCTCTCCTGCCTTGGCCAGCTGTGCAGCATGTTTGCTCAACTGGCGGGAAGGGCTTCAGCAAGAGTCCTCTGGGATCCCTGGGTCTAGGAGCTCCGATTTCAGGGAGGGGAATCTGCCTTCAGTGTGAAACAAACTGCAGCCCCCATTTCAGGGCAATCAGGGTGAAAGGAAAAGACTGAAAGCCTAATGC